GGGTGACAACGTTAGAGCTAAAGAAGGTTGTGGTTGGAAGTGGGATAGGACTTAAGGTTTTGTTATTGTTGATAATTTAACCTAGGGTATAATGGTATGATATGAAAAAAATTAAAGAAGTTGGGTTGTCCAATAATAGTTATGGGTGGCATTTAGAGGCTTCCTTTATTGTTGGGATCAATCGCTTACCATCTCACAAAAACCCATAGGTAGTGGTGAAGGCACAACTTTTTTTCTTTAAAGGGTACAATGCCAAGCGCCTCAAGTCGATTGTGACTCGGCCTCACGTTGGACCTCTGCCACAGCAAGATGTTTGCCCCAACCCAAGCCAACAATGCGAACTCTTCAATTATTGTGACGATAGTGAATGGATAATCTTACCCCATGATTTGTGTTCAATTTCTAAAGTGCATTATTAATAAGACTCAATTGATACCTAAAGAGAGAGAGGGAAGATTTTCGGACTTGGGTGTGTGTGCAAATGAAGTGTGGATGTGTATATTTAAAGACCTGAGGTAAAGGGACTTTTCTGTCCCCAAAATGGCACGGGTGGCCGACAGGCCTTACTAGTGGCCGACAGGTGGTCGATGGTCCTCATCTGTGGCCTGGATCTGTTTTGCGCCTCTGTTCCCCGAGAAGTGTATGAGAGGTTCTCTTTTGGGTCCAGATTGATTCTAGGGAGCTTGAAACCGTGTTCCAATGCATGAGTATGCCCTACTTGCCAATATGAAGGAGGTGTATCCTTTTTGAGCATGTAGCAAAGTCTCTAAGTGGTAAATTGGAGGTTGTCACCGAATATCATTTTTATTCGTTTTGTTAAATTACATATTTGTTCTCTTTTGTTGCATAGAATGTGCATTTTCACATATACTTATGTTGCACGCGTGTCCTACATCATTCATGATTCATGCACAAAATATGCTTTTAGTTTTGCATAGAATATGTTTTTATTTCTTGCATAGAACATGCCTTCAATTAACATCATACGTCAGTTGTCTATCTTGCATGAAATATGTATTGTCACTGTATTGATTTGTTCACTTAGTGCATCTATCGTACTTGTTTACTTTGTACATCTATTGCACACTTTCATTTCATTGTGTTTTTGTGGTGCAGTCTTGTACTTTTTTCTTTTATCTCAAGACACGTGAACGGTGGCCCTAGGTGGGTTTTGTCTCAGAACGCGTGAAAAGCGGCACTGGGCGGGTTTTATCTCGGGTTGCATGAAACGTGTTTTGGAGGTGTGGAGGCTAAATCTCTCAAATCCTTCCAATTCACTACCAATTCTTAGCAATTCTCTATTTCCTCCTCTTTGATCTTGATCTCTTGCGGTTTCTCTCTTCTTCTCACATTTTCGGCTTGATTAGAGTATCTCAAGACGCATCAAGCGCGGCCTTGGGTGGGTCTTATCTCAGACATGTGAAACGCGACCCCGAGCGATTTTTCTTTTATCTCAGGATACGTGAAACGTGACCTGAGCAATTTTTTCCTTATCTCGAAATGCATGAAACGTGGCCTCGAGCGATTTTTCTCCTATCTCAAGACGCGTGAAATGTGACCTTAAGCGGTTTTGACTCTATCTCAGGACTTGTGAAGCGCGACACTGAGCGGTTTTCATCACGGGACGCATGAAGCGAGACCCTGAACGGTTTTCGTTTCTCAGTTTCTCAGGACGTGTGAAATGCAATCCTGAGCAGTGTTTTCTTTCCTCGTCTCGCATTTTGGCATGGTTAGAGTGTGTTGTAGATCTTTTTGCATGGAACCAAAAAAAGTTACTAAAAAAGTCTGTTCCCAAACGAGAAGTCTAGGAATCCAAACTTTCATTCTCATATTTGTGTCAATAATGAATGTGCGAGAGTAAAAATTGAAAGTGTGCATTGTGAAGTTTATATATAGAATTTGGATCACATTGAAAGTGTGTATTGTGAAGTTTATATATAGAATGAATTTGGATCGCATTGATGTTTCTAGGTAATTTTATGAATAAAATTCTTGTGTTTATAGTATTACTAAGGTGCCGTTTGGTAATACTTACATTTTCAGTTTTCTATTTATATTTATAAAAATTTAAAAAACTCAAATAAAAACTTGTTTGGTAAAATTTTTGATTTATAAATCAGTTTTTTATATTTTTAAATTTTTTAAAACATTTTGTCAATTATCAAACGCGTTTGTAGTTTATATTTTTCTAAAAATAAACAAAAACTAGTTTATAAAATTTTGTAAATATAAACTGAAAACGTAAACGTTACCAAACACACCCTAAAAATTTTACTCTATTTAGTTTACTAGAATGAGATGGAATAGAATGCAATGAAATGATCATTATACTTAGACTCCCTTATAGAGTAATCATTCATTTATAGTGGTGAATGATGATTTCATTTAAAATGTATTTTTTCATTACTTTTTTAATTAATTAAATATGAAAACAAATATTTTAATAGAATAATTATTTCATTTCAGTTTATTTCAGTAAACTAAACCCCCCCTAAGATGAAAATATTCTCAAAACTCAATGAATCATACGTAAGAGCATCTCTAATGGTTGAAACTATAATAGTTTTGCCAAAATTATTTTTTGACTTATTACGGTGCACAAAAATTAATTTTTGTCCACACCAATGGAGACTTGCCATTTGACAAATTCAACTAATTTTTAATTTGTCAACAATTTGACTTGTACTACATTTCAAATTCTTCAACCCATTTTCCAATCAAACTTTCAACAATTTTTATTTTATCAACCCAAAAAAAAAAAAAAAATAGTAGTTGAAAAAAAAAATAGTTGATTTTGCAGCCCACTGTGATCAACCATTTTTATTATTGTTGATTTGTGAAGTTTTGGTTCCAAAAAGTTGTTGAAATATGAAAATAGTTGATTTTGGCCCTAATCTTGTACAATTATTTTGTTAAATCTTGAGTCAAATTTAGTTTAAAGTTTGGCTTTGTCATTTTTTTGATATGACTAGCCGCACACTATATTAAAGCACTACTTTTGAAAAGCCACGTCATTTTTTAATTTTGATATCACCAATGACACCACCATTAAAATGCTCTAAGATTCTTTCACAAAGGCGACAAATTTGTCACAAGGGCATGCAACGGTGGTTGTTTCACTGATTTTTTGACGGATATTCTTAAAAACTAACAAATAAAATGTTAAGTTTTTTTTTTTTTTTTTTTTGGGATGAATAAGTCATAAATAAAAAACACAGAAATTATACATTTACAAGGGGCATATCCTTGCCCCAACAGACGATTACAATAAAATGTAAAGGTTGTCATCTATAGTCGGTATAAAAATGCTAGCGATTGTGACTAAACATCAACTAGCAAATAGAGGAAGAAATGATGAACACGGATCTTAAAGTCAAATTAATGAATATTTGGGATAATTTAAATACGTATATATTTTAATTTTTTACAAAAAAATGTATAGAAAAGTAAAAAAGTGATGTGTTTTAAATAAATACACTTATCTAAATAAGTACACTTATATAAGTTATGTTAAACACCCACTTAGTCTATTGTTGCAATGTTCACTAATCCTAATTATGGGTTTAACTTGTCTTAAGTTGGGATAGCAATTTGAGAGAGCGTTTAGGCTTGATAAGTTTATTTTGGGATCAATTTTAGTAATTCGAACCATTTATGCTTTAGGATTCGTTGAGTAAAATATTCATGTAAAAAATTAAGATGATTTGACATCAACAGTTATACGTTTGAGTCATATTTGTTTTAAAAAATAGACGACAAATAACAAACTGCCTATCTCCAATCATCTTATTCTTTGACATAAATGTTTTACTACAACGAGTTTTAAAAAATAAATTATTCAAATCATCGAAATTATTTTTAAACTTACTAAATTCAAACACTTTTTCAAATTGAGATGAATAAATCAAACTCCCTAATTATATATTGACAAGTTGGAAGCGGTCATTGTTGCCCATAGTAATTTTTAAAATTTTTTTTATTTTATTTTATTTTTATCGTGCTGGGAAAGACCAAATCAAACTACTCTCTTCTCAACAGCATCACTCTTCCAGCAAGCCACCATCACATACACAGTGAGAATACAAACTCAACTAAGCAACTTCCTTCTCTCATTCCACCATAAATCCATACACTTCACCCATACACACGCTTTCATATCTGTGGAGAGAAGTCTACAATGGAGAACTCCGGTAGTGCAACCATTGCCATGGCCTCATCAACAAACTCTAGTTGTGCCTTGCCGGTCATCGAAATTGAGGAAATAATAGACTTTGTAGATGAGAATTATGCAATAATGTTTCAAGTTCAACTCCTTGGGGCAAGGTTCAACTCTTACAAGATGCAATCAACTTTTTGAGGTCAAATTAACAGGTTTTGTCCGAGATTTACCCATACATGTAGAAGGAACATTTTGCCTAAGATTCAAAATTAGTCAGTATGCGTAAACTAGTCCGAATTCGCAGCCTTAAAATAAAATAATAATAAAAAATACTACGAAAATGGATGAGGCAGTGTCTGCTGTACATGGGAGAAAGAATTGGTCTTCTATTAGGAGTAACCATGGTTAAGTTTGGTTCCGTTAGTTTTTAGAATAAATTAAGGTCCAAATCAGATGCATAGTATTTTTGATCCCTAACATTTGTATTGTATCAATTTGTAATCTAATTCTGATTATAAATACTAATGCTGTGTTTGTTGAGGGATTTGAAGAGGAATTTGAAAAGGAAAATGAAAAAGGTAGGTGAAATGTGAAAAAAATATACCTATATTTCACATAATTTCACACACTTTTTCTCTTTTCCTTTCTAAATTCCTCCTCAAATCCCTAACCAAACACAGCATAAAAAAATCAGTTTTAATTCTAATATATATTTAATACTTTGATAACAAACAAGCTACACAATGATCAAAATAATACAAATCATATGCTCTAGATTAAAAAATAACTAATATCGTCATTAACTTTTCAAAATATTGTATACTCTAAAAACAATGCCGCCGGCCCTAAGATTCGTTAGAGCGGTGACTCTTATACCAATGTTTCAATACCACCCAATACCCCGTCATATATTACAATCCAATCTCTCCCCATTTTTGTCCCAAAAAAAAAAAAAAATGACAGAGCCAACGATGTCATTGAAGACGCTACAAGGCAAAGTAGCCATAGTCACCGGCGGCGCAAGTGGCATTGGCGAGGGCACCGCCCATCTCTTCGCCCAACACGGCGCACGTGCGGTGGTCATCGCCGACGTCCAAGACGAAAAGGGCCGCCTCGTCGCCGAAGTGATCGGCTTAGACCGATGCAGCTACTACCACTGCGATGTCGCCGATGAAAAGCAAGTGAAAGCCATGGTGGACTGGACCGTGCAGACTTTCGGGCAGCTCGACATCATGTTCAGCAACGCAGGAATCGCGAGCAGCTCCGATCAGTTGCTCCTCGACCTCGACTTCTCGCAATTTGACCGACTGTTTGCGATCAATGTGCGCGGCATGACTGCATGCGTGAAGCACGCGGCGCGTGTGATGGTGGAGCTGCGCGTGAGGGGGAGCATTGTATGCACGGCGAGTGTGGCAGGTATTGTTGGAACTCACAAATACACGTAGATTTGTTTAAAATATAAATTCTCTTCAGATTTAAAAAATTATAAATATCTTTTTATTATGATGTTTTATTTAATAGAATTAATTAAAAAAAAGTAAAATTTTTAATTATCTATCTATACAATAAAATTATCAGCATTATTAATTAAAATAAAATTTTAACATTATTAAAAACTGTTAATTAACTTAATTATTTATTAATAAAATGATTTATTTGTTATAAAATTAGAAACTTTAAGGGTCATAATGTAATTTCTAAAATTATAAAAATAATTTATAATTTAAATAAATCCTAAGAGTGTGCTTGTAATTTATCCTTTTCAAATTGAATAAATTACACTTTGGGAGCTTTTTTGATAAATTCACTTTCTAAGAGTTTTATTTCATCCAACTCATATTCTTTTTTACTATTCTATTAGGTCCTATTTGAGATAAGAAGACCAAAATACCCTTTTCATCTACTTATGTTTCATTTAGTTCACATTATTTTCTTATGTTTCAATAAATCCTATGGATGACATAATTATCAAAATACTCCTAATGTGAATGTTCACACCGTCAATGTGAATGTTCATATCGTCAATGTGTAGGGGCCCGGCCCATGTCGATCCTCGTGGGTGCTAGGAAAAATTCGAGTCGGACCGGGGCGGGCCCCGCCTGTTGACAATGTGAATATTCACATTGACATGTTAACATTCACATTAATAGGAGTGTAAAATTGTCCCGCGTCCCGTGGCGGCGGGCAACCCGTCCGCGGTCCATGAGCGGCCCGGGGCGGGCCCGGTCCTGCCCATTGACAATGTGAATATTCACATTGACATGTTAACATTCACATTGATAAGAGTACAAAATTGGCCTGTGGCCTATGGGCGGCCAAAAGCCCGCCCGCTGCCCGGGGCGGGCCCGACCTGGCCCGGCCCGTTGACAATGTGAATATTCACATTGACATGTTAACATTCATATTGATAGGAGTGTAAAATTAGTCCGCGCCTCGTGGCTACCCGAAACCCGCCCACGGCCCGTGGGCTACCCGGGGCGGGCCCGACCCGACCTGTTGACGATGTGAATATTTACATTGACATGTTAACATTCACATTGATAAGAGTATAAAATTGGCCAGCGGCCCAGAGCGGGCCCAACCCGGCCCGTTGACAATGTGAATATTCATATTGACATGCTAACATTCACATTGATAAGAGTATAAAATTGGCCCGCAGCCTATGGACAGCCCGAAGCCTGACCGCAGTTCGAGGCGGGCTTAGCCCGACCCGTGACAATGTGAATATTTACATTGACATGTTAACATTAACATTGATAGGAGTGTAAAATTTGCACGCTGCCCGAAGCTTGCCCGCGGCCTGGGGTAGGCCCGGCCCAGGCCGTTGACAATGTGAATATTCACATTGATATGTTAACATGCACATTGATAGGAATGTAGAATTGGCCCGCGGCCTGTGGGCTGCCTGAAGCCCGCCCACGGCCCGGGACAGGCTCGTTTGGGTCCGGACCCGAGCATGTCCGAGACCCTAGGCTAGGGCCAAGGCCATCACTTTGAAGCCTGGCCCGGCCCATCAGCCCGCTTAAGGCCCATTCAAGGCTCGGTCCGAGGCCCAGCCAGCGCCAAGGCACAATGTCTTTTTTTGTGAAAAATAATAAAATTTTGATAGAAAAAATTAAAAAGAATTAAAAAAAAATGGCCAGGCCCGCCCAAGCCCGACCTAAGCTCGAGGCTAGGCCCAGGCCCACCGGCCCCACCCAAGGCTCGATCCATCGGCCCATCTAAAGCCCGAATACCCTTGTGCCAGGGCTAGGGCCTAGGCCTAATTTTTTGGCCCGTGGGCAGGGCTGGGTCGGCCCAAATTTTTTCGGACACCCACGAGGCTCAATATGGGCCGGCCCGGGCCTCTACGCATTGACGATATAAACATTCACATTATGAGTATTTTTGTAATTATGTCTCCCATAGGACTTATTGAAACATAAGAAAATAATATGGACTGGATAGAATATAAGTAGATGAAAATGGTATTTTGATCTTCTTACCTCAAATAAGACTTAATGGAATAGTCAAAAAGAACGTAGGCTTAACAAAGCCCGCTCGCGGCTCGGGAAAGGCTCGTTTGGGCCCGGGCTCGAGCCTAGTCCAAGACCCTAGGTTAGGGCCTGGGCCATCACTTTGAAGCCTGGCCCGGCCCATCGGCCCGGTTAAGGCCCATTCAAGGCTCGGTCTGAGGCCCGGCCCGCGCCGAGGCCTAGTGTCTTTTTTGGTGAAAAATAATAAAATTTTGGTAGAAAAAATTTTAAAAAAATAAAAAAAAATGGCCAGGCCCGCCCATGCCCTGAGGCTAGGCCCAGGCTCATCGGCCTGACCTAAGGCTCGACCCACCGGCTCCGACCCAAACGAGCCTGCCCCGGGCCGTGGACAGGCTTCGGGCAGCCCACGGGCCGCGGGCCCATTCTACATTCCTATCAATGTGCATGTTAACATGTCAATGTGAATGTGAATATTCACATTGTCAACGGGCCGGGTTGGGCCTACCCCGGGTCGCAGGCAAGTTTCGGGCAGCGGGTAAATTTTACACTCCTATCAATGTTAATGTTAACATGTCAATGTGAATATTCACAATGTCACAGGTCGGGCTGTGGTCGGGCTTCGGGCCTTCCACGGGCTGCGGGCCAATTTTACACTCTTATCAATGTGAATGTTAACATGTCAATGTGAATATTCACATTGTCAACGAGCCGGATCGGGCAAGCCTTGGGCCGCTGGCCAATTTTATACTCTTATCAATGTGAATGTTAACATGTCAATGTGAATATTCACATTGTTAACAAGCTGGGCCGGGCCTGCCTCGGGCCGCCTACGGGCCGTGGACAGGTTTCGGGCAGCCACGGGGCGCGGGCTAATTTTACACTCCTATCAATGTGAATGTTAACATATCAATGTGAATATTCACATTGTCAACAGGCCAGGCCGGGCCCGCCCTGGGCCACCGGGGGGGCTTTTGGCCGCCCATGAGCCGCGGACCAATTTTATACTCTTATCAATGTGAATGTTAACATGTCAATGTGAATATTCACATTGTCAACAGGTCGAACCGGGTCCGCCCCAGGCCGCCACGGGACGCGGCTAATTTTGCACTCCTATTAATGTGAATGTTAACATGTCAATGTGAATATTTACATTGTCAACGGGCCGGGCCCGACCTGGCTCGCGGGCGGGTTTCGGGCCACCCACGGGCCAATTTTACATTCCTACCAATGTGAATTTTAAAATATGAACGTTCACATCATAAAATTGCTAACCGTTCAAAAAATATTTATAAGGGTATCAAAATTAAATATAATGGCATAAGTGTCCAAGAAAATAGTGTAAATCAAGAAAAATGACTTTATGGAATAAAACTATACATACATGGGACTAAATGGGTTAAAAAATTCCTTCATGGACTTCTTGGGTTAAAATACTTCTAAATGAGATTTATCAATAAAAATTTTCATGAGTTTTAATTATTTTAATTTGAATAATTTAGTTGTTACATTTTATGTCTGGTTTTATTTAGAATAAATTATTAATAGGTCCTAACAGTTAAATTTAATTTCTATCAAGTTCTATTCAAAATAAGTCTTAGTAAAATCGTCAATAAAAATAATTTTTTTTGACGATTTTTTGCATATGTCACTAAAAATTGATAATTAGTGATTTTCTTATCACAATTTTTATAAATTGTTGTTAAAACTTATAATTATTGATATTTTTCTATGAAATTTTTTTTAAAATTGTTACTGAAAATTAAAAATTATTAATTTTTTTGTGAATTTTTTTTTTTAAATTATCGTTAAAATTTATAATGAGTAACATTTTTTATGACAATTTTTAAACTGTCATTCAAAATTAACAATTAGTAACATTTTTTAATTATATTTGATGAAAAATATTATTAATTATCATAAGATTTATTATATAATAAATTTATCAATTAGTACCTATACCTAAGTCTCCGTTTTATTTGCGTCATTCTATCAAAATTTTGTTTACTTTTGCTGCGTTCGGATCCTCTGGGGTCAGAGTTTCAGGCAGTTCTCGTGGAATGGAAAAAACGACGTCACTTTACTTTAAGGCCAAAATAAAATAAAATTTATTTTATCATCTTATCTTTAAGGGTCGAGCACTTTATAACCTCACAATTTGAATATAGACAGCAACCTTTCCTATAATTTTGGATTAAATTACAACACTAACTCTATTAGTGTTAATGACAAAAACCTTTTGTTTCTTTTCATAAATTATTCTCTTAGAGAAAAGAGGGAGCATATTTATAAATGCGCTTAATCGTAATTAACAATCAGATTGTTTTTTACTTATAAAAATTAATTATAAAAAAAATTACTACCTTTTAAGCCTAATTTATAAAATTTATCAACATTTTAAGTTAATTTAGAATCATATCTAACCTTTTAAGTTAATATAGAATCATATTTACTTAATTTTTAAATCTAATTTCAAATTTGATTACGTATTAAGTTATATATATTTATCAAGCACAAAAGAGTTAATAAAAGGGTTTTGATTTAAATCCAGCAATCTGTTCTTGCTGGTGAATCTTCCAACAAATGGTAACTAATGGGTTATGAACTCAAGATATGAAAATTGATATTAAAAAAATAAATCGAGTCCAGCCTGCGATTTTACTAGTAATTCTTTGATTAAAGGACAAAATGTAATTGATCAGTCATCAACTCAAGAAGAACAAAAAGTGAAGACAAATTATTTTCGATAGTGTTTTTGGGCACCGAATCTTGTTTTTGCTCATAAGCCATACGAAATTCATAATAGAGAATATAATGAACTTGCTAATTAGAATTTTAGCTTCAAGATTGGGGTTTTCTATTTCGGGTCGTCAATCACCTTAGCATTTCTTTGCTTTCCTTTGAATGTGATAAAGAGATTTAGAGGTGGTAAGAGTTGAAAGACAGTCGTTAGAGAAGATCACGGTAGAGGGGTCGAAGGACCATTGTTTAAAGGTGACCAATGTGAGAGAGGGAAGGGAGACAAGTTTAGCATTATGTAAACAGGGAAAATGAAGAAGCTTGGGTGAAGAAAAAATGATAAATTAGAGAGATGAGGACGCAGAGGTAGGTGATAATGGCAAATTTAGGATTAGCGTTAGGTTTATCAATTAAATGGGAGGAAGAAGATGAAGCCAAAGGACAACTCTCAAAATCCTGAATAGTGTCTTTTCATAAAATTCTGAATTTGTCTGAATTATTTTGTTTGCCCAACTCTCAAAATCCGCATGTGAAACCCAATTTTCGTTAATTTAGATGAAAAATGTAATTGTTACACTTTATTTCAAAATCACAAGAGATGCAGTTGGCTATTTTTAAACCATAAGGGGTTAAAATGCTCTGGCCCTTAACTATAAGAGGATAAATTGAATTTTACTCACAAAAAAAAAAAAAAAAAAAATTAAAAATTGAAACAAAACGCAGAAGGAAGAGAAAAAGAGAGAGACGCTAGCGGCCACCCCTTTCCTTACCACCGTTTGAGCCATATTCGGCCAGCCTTCTCCTCGCATTCCTCCTCTATCCCCTTCTCCACGGTCCGTCGCACCCCCTTCTATCGTTCTCCTTTTACTTCTTCTTTCTTTCTTTCTTTTTTTTTTTTATTTTCTTTTCACAATCTGCAAAACCCTAAGTTATGTTAAAATTGTAATTTAAATGTTAAAATTTGCATGAAAAAGCGAATATGATTTTTATATAGCAATCTGTCGTGGTTCTCGTCAATTTTGCAAGCTATATTATTATTATTATAACGAACCCCTCACCCCCCCTTTGCCACATGGCGGGTGGTGATTGGGGAAGCAGGAAAAAAAAAGAAAAAGAAAAAGAAAAGGTAACCAATGAGAGAGAGAGGGGGTCAAAGGGGGTGGGAGGAAAAATGGGATGAATCATTGTTGTATTATAACTCTATTATTATTATTATTATTATTATTATTATTCAAGATATATCACAGTACATTGTCTTAAATAATGGTTCATTTGCATTTTATTCTTTTAAATTTCAAAATACAATATTTCAAGATATATCGAACAATTTTCTTATTACACTTTTAACGCCTTTCATTAGGATTCTATCTCGGGCAAAGTTCTAAAAAAATGGTCATTATGTAGTGTAACAGTCGATTCATAATACAAAATGGAGGTACCAATTTGGATACTCACCGGTATATCGGCGCGAACAAAAATTGAAAGCAAACCAGTGTAACTGTTACACAAGTTATTATATAAGCAGTGACAGGCCGATACTCATCGCAACAGGTTAGAAAGTGTTGAAAAATGGTTAAGAAAATTCCCGACCATGTCATTACATAAGCAGTGACAGGCTGATACTCATCGCAACAAGTAAGAAAGTGCTGAAAAATAGTCAAGAAAATTCACGACCATGACACTCGATTCCCAATACATACTAGCCGATACAACCAATACTGATACTCCACGATCAATATCGTTACGTTATCTGATACCACAATTTAGAACCATGGTCCCAGGACTTAAATGGAGTAGGTTATGTGTGAAGCGCATGACATACTTGTTGACTTTTTAGAGCAATAACACCCGTTATTATTATTATTTTTTTTTTAAGACAATAATACTCTTACGTTGTCTCTCTTATCTTTGTAGTAAGTGCAATCAAAATAAGAGTATTATTGTCTTAAAAATTTAATAAATATGTCATGTACTTTACATATGATCTAATTTTTCAAAAATACTAGAGGCCTTAAAAATTTTACCAAAAATTTTACTAAATGTTTTACATGTGTGTGGGACTCACATTCACATCCATATGAGATATTTGATAAAAATTTTAGGGTCTCTAACATTATTCTTACTTTTGTATGAATCTCTCACAGAATTCTAAGAGAAGGAATTAATTGTAACAAAATAATATTTTGAGATGGTTAAGCGCTAAGTTTTGAAATTCAAAAAATGCAAAATGCAATACATATAAATGGCTTGTATCATATTTTTTAGAGTAAAATTATAAATTTACTAAACTTAACGAGATTATTTTTCGTCAAAAACACTATCAATATTATTAATTGGACCAAAATGACACAAAATTTTAAATTAAGAGTCAAAATTGAGATAATTAAAAGTGGAAAGACCAAAATGACACAAGAAGCAAAATCCCCATTGTTATTTAATTTCTAATAATTTTTACTGTTTTTGTGCATAAATCCCCAGCAGGTAGTAGGGGAGGAAACAAGTTGACAGATTACGTGATGTCAAAGCACGCGGTGATCGCGCTGGTGAGGTCGGCTAGCCAGCAGCTCGGACAGCATGGGATTAGAGTCAACAGTGTGTCGCCGTTTGGGGTTGCGACGCCGTTAACTTGTGCAATGCTTGGAAAGGAAGAGGAAGAAGTTGAGAAAGAATACGAGGGTTGCACTCCGTTAAAAGGGATTGTGCTCAAAGTTAAACACGTGGCAGATGCTGTGCTGTTCTTGGTCTCCGATGAATCTGGGTTCATCTCCGGTCATGATATGGTCATAGATGGCGGGTTCTTAGCTTGATTGATGCTGTCACATTCAATTTTCATGATTACGGCAAGTTTGGAACTTTCGGTTTTAATGGATCAGATATCAAGGGATGCTTTTCGTTTAATATATTAAGGTCCTATTTGGCAATCGTTCTTTTGGTTAAAAAAAAACAACAATGATTCATCCCACTAAAAACATCACCACTAATAGCACTAATGCATTAAAAAAGTAAAAAAAAATAAAAAAAAATACAACTCCAAGACCAAAACATCACATCATTAATGGCGGGACCCACTGCCACCTAATTAGTGGGAGCACTAATTAGTGCTCCCAAGCATTTTTCAAAAAAAAAAACGCTCCATCTTAAAAAAAATTATAAAAAAAAATCAATTTTTCAAACACAACTTTTAAATGAGTATTAAATTTTAAGTGTTTAATGAGATTATTAAACACCACCTACAGCATAAGAAAAATTGAGATGTTCTAAACAAGTATACTTTTTAATTTTTTATAAAAAAAATGTATAGAAAAATAGAGATTATTAAACACCACCTACAGCATAAGAAAAATTAAGGAGTTGTTTGAAATGTTCTAAATAAATGCATTTTTTAATTTTTTTAAAAAAAATATGTGAAAAAATAAAGAAAGCAAGTAGCAAAATAGAGAGGAGATGTTAATAGATGTTGATAGATGTGACCTAAATAAATATATGTATGCAAAAAAAAAAAAAAAATTTAGCGCAGGCCAAACACCTACTAAATGAATTACTCACAACATCAATAATATCAATTGAAAACAATGCGTTGGAAAAGCTTGAACATAATTAGTAATTTTGTATTTCAATTAAAAAATTATGCATATCAAATAGATCTAGAAAAGGCGTAATTTAAGTTTGGGTAAATTGCATTAACAATCCCTAAAATTTATCTTTAACCTAGATTTGATCTTATTTCACTTTACTACTTCCGAAACATTGTTTACTAATGGATGTAACAAAAAATATATAATTACCTTACGTTATGTTTGGTTAAGGGATTTGAAAAAGATTAAATATATTTTATTCATATTTTATTTATCTTATTTATTTCTCTTTTTAAATTTTTCTTTAAATTTTCTAATTAAACATAACATTAATTTTCACTTAAATTATAAAATTATTATACTACCTTTTCGCCTTTCTAGGCCTACCCAACCAGTTACCCATTGCTACAGGGTGGGGCGTTGGGGGTTGCTCATCACATGTTTGATGGAAAGTGTTGCGAAGAGGTGAGAAAGAAAATAGATGAAATGTAGAAAAATTGGAGCTGGGTCACTCTTGTACACACGCACAGCAGTGACTAATACGTGGCCAGTTCGACTTACTTCGGGTTTTATTTTTATAATTTAAATTATTTAATTTTTAAGAAAAATATTAAGTAAAATATATTTATAAATAATTAAGTTGATCGGATATTGATAACTTATTTATCAAATCATATTTGTACTTAAAAAAATACTAAGTATCATAATGTGAATACAAATGTGATTTGATAAATAAATTATTGATATCCGAACAACTTGATTTTTTACAGTTATATTTTATTTGATGTTTCCTAAAATTTGAATAGTTCATATTATCGAAAAAAGATCCAAAGTGAGTCCACGTGCCGCATAATAGTCATTGTTGTGCATTGCGCACAATAGTAAGCAAATCCAAAAAAATTAGGTTAGGTAATCTCAAAGGTAAAATTGGTATTTTGTAAACGATTGGGCTTCTCTCCAGTCCAAGATCTAGACTGGAGGGTGTTATCTAGGCTTGTGGAGTCTGCCACAAGTCTCATTTCAATGATTTTAATTATTTATTTTGTAAAGGCCTTCGTGTACATTATCCACAAAAAAAATTAAGTCTATTTAATAATCATAACCTATTCAATTTAATTCATTTTTCTAGAAAAAAGAAAGAAGAATTAAGTCACAATTGTATTTTTTTAAAATAGATCATCTATTTTTTTTAGTAACAAACGCAATAAATTAAATATGATACAATTATCAAATTGACTTAATTTTTTTTGTAAGTAACATACACAAATTGTCTTATATGTTCGAATTATCGAAATAAGTTTCACAAGCTTGAACAACCCCTCAAATCCTAAATCGGACACAATCCAAACCCTTTGTAAAATGTTATTATTGATATTATTAAAACTGTTAAGTCAACTATAAAAATAGAAGTGGCAATGCATAATGCAATTAGTAATTTGGAGGAGAAAAATATAATTTTTAAAATGTAAAAAGTGAATCTATATCAATTCAAAATCTGAAACATAATTTATGTAATTGGCGGGAAGGTTGTGGCATTGGCAGAAAGTCAATTAAACTTTTTTCTAATTCTTGGAGCATTTGATTCAAAGATATATGCCATAGTCTTTAATTTGAGCCTTAGTTGGTTCAAAAATAGCAAACAATGTTCGAATCTTAAATGTAAGATTATCACATATATGTATTAAAAATTGATTCCATAACGCATATGGTTGTAGTAGAGAGCACTGAGTAAAAATAATAGTAAATAATCTCCTCAATTGATAACCAGTTTTCATAACTATAGCCTATTTAAGGCATTGTATCCATTTTTCGTCATCTTCTAAAAATCCTCTTGCAACATATGCTGATTTAAACGAATCATGCAAAACATTGTTGATCGTGCGTAAGCATTGAAACGATTTTGGTCTTTTGACAACAGTTAATTACAAATGCAAATAAAATCTTTCACCACAATTAGGGCTAGCAAAGTACATTCTACTTATTGCATATCCCTGCTATCTTGGTTTCCATCTTTTTTCTGAATTAAGCCAAACAAAATGCTGTGGAAATTCTTGGTAAGTTAATGGACATTCATCTTCCATAGAAAGTGCAACATGCAAAAAAATCAATAAGAGTTGACATTTGTTGCCTAGCTCTAGAAACAATTGCTTCTAATGATTCATCAGAATTAAAAAGAATGTGATGCATTCGAGGTTAATGAAGTACCAAGCGTACAACTGTTGGCATCTCTGCATGCAACAGATGACCAAATATTTGCCAAGCAGCTTTGGAGGTCCAATATACCTCGCATCGAGATATTGTTAGATCTCATTATCAATCCAAACACCATCGTTGTACGATCATAACCCTTGTAAATGTACTTGTGTATATACTTGACACATCTCATTCTGGCACAAACTTCCATATTTATGTTACAGTTGATGCATTTAGAAAGATATGCATTGTATGGTACGACGTCCCTGTTATCAACTTATTGCCCCCTCACAATATGAACTTGACTATTATTGCGACGACGATAGATAGGATATCCATTTTAATCCATAGTAGTTGTTTCTGCAAACGCTCGATGGTATCTCTTAGTGCATTTACCATTTTCCATACATGGTGCTTGTGGATTTCGAGCACCACATGGTCCATGTACCATACGACACTTGATAGTTTCAAAAAACATAGGTTCATCTTTTGGATCTAGAAATTCTACATAAACCAATTTGTCTACTTGAGCATATATCTGAATTTTGTCTAGACCCTTAAGAAATAGAAGTGCATGCATATGAGCAAAGCTTCGTTATTCAATTATAAAAACATGCGCAACTTTATTACCAAACACTTGGTTTTTTTTCTCTATCTCCTTCATCAAGCACTTTCTCTTTAACTCAAAAACACAGGTAATTAAATAGGTTTTTAGTACGGTAATAATGCCGAAGTAATTTCTAGCCAATTAGGATTTGTAGTCATGGTGAGAAAAATGTCTGGATGTTGGTTGTATCGTGTGATAGACATTGAATCTTGAAAGATTTCAAACATGTATCTAGGACCATTAGGAAATGTAGATGGCAAAACAAACCTTTGGCCAATTTGATTTGGTCGCAAGTCATTTGGATCAATATCTATCAAATCTTGGTAAAGTTCAGCACAGATTTTCCCTTGATTAAGCTTGTAGTAAGTCAACCTATTTTGTTCAGTTGCGGCTCAAGCATCTACTAAAAACTCTTGGAACAATTTTCTAGCTTTCAAAATTGTTGAATACTCTATGAATCGTTCAAACAAACGATAACTATAAAAATCCATTTGAGTAAACCGATCAGTTGAAGGCCAATCACGTTGAACATCACACAGTTTGATCTCAGGTTCCCATCCAAGCTCACCATGTAGAAATAATAAAACATAATGTAATGGAAAATATGCTGGGTGACATTCGTTGATTTGCATAAGCTCATTATTTCCTTATAGATGTAAGATAATATCTCTTATTTCACTAACCTTGGTTCCATCACTTGGTATTACAACTGCAATCTCATCTGTAATTAGCCGGTTATACTGTCAGCGATCTGTCGTTGAATTATAATGGAGATGAGTAAGTAAATTTCGTCCTATCAAAGCTAATTAATTTAAGACTGCATGAGCCAACGAATGCATTAACATGTAATAAACTAGCTTGAATAGTTTTTAGAACATCTCTTATTAATTGAGGATTTCTACAATTGCGAACTTTTAAAGCTAAATTAGGGTCATAAATGTACAATTACACATAAGCTGCATCCTGCCCTGATTGTGATAGTAGTGATCTTGTTAGATGTCGTAATTCCCTATGGATAGTGAATGATGTAGGGCCTCTTCCAGTAAGTACTCTTGGATTTAATGTAGCACCAAGACTTTTGAAAGCATTGGTTACACTGTACACTCGAGTATAACGTCAAAACAATTTTGATTTATCATCATTCCTATCATATAATGTTTAAAGAAGTGAAGGGGGTGTATTAAGTAGAGGAAGCTTAACCTTTCCTTTCGAACAACATGTTTCAAATAGAGAACGGTTTGGAGATGATTTTACTAATTTTTCATCCATCCAATAAAATGTTGAACAGAAAGGACATAATACATCCATCTTACTAAGAGAATGACGACATGAATTTATATGTGCTCGAGTACCAACCGTTAGACTTATAGGCATATCCTCTAATTCGTTATCAGAACATAGATCCTCTTGAAGGAAAGGAGTTGTAAGAGTAAGCCTATAACTATTGGTTCTATGTAAATTAAAATAGAATGGTATTGTATAGCGATTCCGGTTTTGACCCGATCCTTGTTGTATCCCGGACTCG